TATAATAAGATCCCCATATACCTTACTTCTTTCTACTCAAAGGTGACTATAGAGGTTTGGGGTTTGAAGGTGTTGGGTTTTAGCACTTAGGTTTTTAAAGTCACCGGATTTCGGGTTTTTGTTTAGGTAGAGTTGAGAAGGGCGGAAGCTTCAACAGACAGGGTTCATTACTACAGGAATGGGGATCTGGATAGATGAGAGTTTCTATTTTCTTAACCATCTTCCTATATGACCCCAATATACTGTAGCAGTTTCCATTTTTCCATTATCCCGATACTCCAAAAACTTAGGATTTCCAGGTTTAGTTTTGGAGTCCGGGCTCTCAGTCTCAGGAGTGCTGACGAAGGACTTTAGGGATAGCAGAGCGTGCAGCGGGAAGTGTGGTGTGTTCAGATCAGTTGCGCAAAGTCCGATCTCGTTTGGGGCTGATAAGAACTGCGAGGTGTACCGTCAAATCTAGATGGCCTGTTTTGCGCTAAAGGTGGGCGTGCTGCCATCTGAGTCTACGTATAGAGGCTATGTCGATTGAAAGAGCTCTAGCCACTAGAAGCTTTTGTGGGGCAGCGAGAATCACCTGCACGTTGAGGTAAGTAGTAAGTGTTTGCGCGAAAGAATGACCAACTGCCATTTCATGTAAGGGCTCCACAGCTTCTGATGAAAGCACACCTAGTCCCTGCAGAAACACCTACTGGTGCCCTTTTGACATCTGGGAAAGGCAGTGCTGAACCACACGCTACATGTAATTCTAAGGTCCGATCCGCCAGATCTCCGGTGAGGAGGGAGCTCTCGCAGTTTTCTGGCAGCCGCAGTGTGACCTCTCTGCGCTGACAGGGTGGTCGGACATTGCTGTAGAGAATGCTTGAAGCATTAGCGAAGCGCACAAACCGTTTGTACGCTTGACCTGTGAAGACCTAAAGACATATGGTCATTGTCAGAATGAGGGTCCTCATGTACATGACGCCGTAGCGCAAACAAATCGATCCTTGTTACGGGCCCGAACAGGACCCAGAATTTTGAGCATCCCCAACTTGGATTGGCAGAGCGATGACATACCGAAGTCCTCCTGAAGTGCTCCCATACAGTCCTCCAACATATAAGGGGTTTTTGCGAGTAATCTATTTCAGCCGCCCGGTTGTCCTTCAAGATAAGACTTGTTTTGAAGGACCCTAGGTGAATGGATCAGGGAACCTACTTGTCGCGGGCATATTCAAGCGATATAGTATATCACCTACCTCCAGGGTCCTCCTGAGAACAGAAAGGCTTAGGCGCACGTCTGAAATGGGAAGGAACCCTGCTGTATCAAATAACCACGGGTTTAGGGCTGAGGGATTTGAGTTTAGGGTTTAGGGTTTACGGTCCACCTAGGGTTACGGAATCTACTTCGAAAGGACAACAAACTCATGCGTTTGCTGCCGGATTGCAGCGTCCAGCTCAGCTCAGTCCATCTGTATGACATACTTGGTGTCATGCAGGATTTTGGGTATCAACCCCAAGCCTCCCTCTTCCTATATATACTTATATCTAAACCTCGTCTATCTCCTTTGAAGGTAACCCTTTCAGCCCTGGTACGCAGTCAAGGCAGTGACCTACGCGGAGTCTGACAGACTTTCAAGCAGGGTTGAGGTTTTAGGGTTCAAATCTAGCAGGCTTGCGGGCACGAAAGAAACGGGTTCAGGGTGGAGATCCCTAAGCCCTAAAGCCTAGACCCCTAACCCTAAACATCAGAATTCCTCCATATAGATGATAATGGTAGTAATAACAATCGTAATAATAAAGTCTCCCTCCGCTCTGAAATTTCCAAGCCTTCTCCACGTTGACCGGGGAGCCTTCAGCAGACGGAGGGCCTACTGTGATGCAAGCCTTTTTCCAGGAATTACCACCAAAGCACTAGGGAGTAAGGGTATACATATATATACATATACACACACATAGTTCTGTTCATAAATTACGGTTTAGGGTTAGTAGGGAATAAAGGATTATTTTCTACAGGGGTCATAAGGGGATTATATTCCAATGTTTGCTACTAACAACCAGTAAGCAACACGGAACCTAGCAAAGTGCTCCATGACAGCTTGGGGCAGGGTAGTGTTCATGGGTTCAGGGTGTCGGTCAAGGACGTTGCTTTTCTATGGAGCTCTGGACATCCCTAGAACAATATACAGTACTTGCTTGGTTCAGCGCGCACGCTGGTTTCCATGCAGCATCTTGTGTAAAAAACACTCAAAGAAGAGCTCGGAGTCCCATATGCTTGCTTGCATAAGCAAACTCCCTTCAACCAGCTGCCGTGCAGGAGAAGATATACACCAGGAGTTTTATGACGTGCTGTGGCTATCTATGCGGTTGTCATGCTCAACCATCTGTCGTTTCAACCTGATTCGAACAAATCTGAGCTAAAATCTAAACTCATAGTATCGCCCTTTAAAACCCCTCTAATACTCCCTTACATAGCCCCCTTCAAGGAGTTTAGACCCTGAACCCTAGATCATATATAGTCCCCTATATAACCCCCCTTGAAGGAGTTCAGACCCTAAACCCTAAATCCTAAATCGCAAACCCCAAGCCTTCAGCCCAGGTAATCGCCTACATCAACCCCTTTTGAGTTCAGCCTATAGCTCATCTGAACATTTTTGGTGCGCCTGGCTCGCTTTGAGCGTCCACCTGCTGTGGGCTTGGCGTGGAATCTCCCGGCCTCACTTCGTGAACACATCTTTGGGGTGTAGGGTTTAAGGATATAGGGTTTAGGGTGTAGCCTTTGGGGTCAAGGATCTAGGGTTCAGGGTTTTTGAGAGGCTAGTGGACTTTTGCATCTGCACCAGTGCAGCCCTTCGGGCCTCCCCAACGTTGAGCTACATCGCAGTTTCCGCATACAGGCCCCCAAGAGTGCCCTACTTTCAGGGAAAAACTTCAGGGTTTAGGGTTCAGTGTTTAGGTCATTATGGGTATAAAGTACATAATAGGGGTTCCTTACAGGAGTAACTTGATTCAAGTTCCTTAACAGCGGCCAGGACATTGGTTATGCCAGTACCATCATCATCTTGTTAGACTAGCGCAGTCCTCCTTCTGTGACGGCAACAGGTCATATACTCAGGACAGGGCCCGCTCAGAAATCTGCTCCAACCTGCAAACAATCGCGCAGCTGTGGAAGGTGATCGCTCCTGATGGGCATCACCAAGCGGGCAGTGACGCTTGAAGGCACGAGTTTTGGCATGGTTGATGTTGTTGGCTTTGTTTTTTGCGTTGTTTTCTTTACCTTTTCTGTCAAGGCCAGGAAGATTTTGCAATTGGGCTTCGCTCACTGAATCAGCAGTGCTTGGATGTTGGGTTGCCATACAAGGAGATCCCAAATAGAGACCCAAATATGCCAGGCTCCTTGTTATAGATACCCGCAAACAAAGCTATGGGAAACCCCCCTTCAGGGCAATTTAGAATAATTTCAATTCCAAATTTAAGGCCATTTTGGTAATGTTCCCGACATACACCACCATTTAGGGTGAGGTTGGGTGAGGTCGCTTCAAATTGTCCAGCCCCTCATTTATTTGAGCTGTAGCAGTGCAGGGGCTGCGCCGCCAGACTGCTCCTGACTCGATTACTGCTTCTTGGGCTTGGTCCGAAGACTTGGAAGTTTGAATAAATTGGGAGCCCGAAACATAGACCTAAGAATAAAAGAATCTTTAGAATTCGTATCCAAGTAAGGGTCCCAATTTTTCGGAGGTCCCCGATTTTATGATACTGCAGACTCCTGTTAGCGCCAAGATTTACGAGAACACGAGGTGATACAAGATTTCATCCTCCGAAAGCTGCTTGCAATTTGCAAAGCAATGTGCGTTGCATGCATGCGCCTTTGCCTGCATGTAAAGTTCATCGCGGGTTCGATCCCTCTAGAATCATCGCTAAGCCCTAAACCCATGCGTCGTTTGAAGGACTTGCTTTGGCGCTCAAGGCTTGCATGGGAAGCTGTCAAAGAGGCTTTTGCAAGCAAGGGGGTCCACGGGTGTCGTGTTGCAGCTGTATGACCCCATCGCGACCGCTACCTATGCTAGGATGCAGGACGATGTAGTGTTGAGATGGTACTAGAGGGCTTCGGGCTTAGGCATGACAGCCTAAACCCTTAATCCTCTGTCGGCCTGAGCTACTGGTCATTGGAAAATTGGTGAGTGTGTAATTGTTGTCCAAGTTTCAAGGTATGTGTTGACGTTATCGTTCTTGGTGAGTGTGCCATCGTTTTCCGATTTCAAAGCCACTGCCACGAATCCAATGTCCATCTTTGGATCTCCTATGACCGATAACAACCCTGCGTCTAACATGCAATAGCTGGACCCCTTACCCTGTGGTAGTTGTATAGTAGGACCCTAATATAATTACCATTTCCCATATGGTCACTATAGCACGGTGGGGGCTCCACCAGATATATGTAAGACATGTTTGTATGGCAAAAGCTTGTTTGGTGCAGACCCCGACAGCTCTCGCTTCATGACACAGCCAAGACTTCATAACACTCTGACTTCCTGACACTCTCGTTCCTTGGATGAACGTTTGGGGTTTAGGGGAGTTGCACTTGCTCCAGACTTAGCTCGGGGCTACAACAACATTTGTAGAGGGCGCCCGCTCTCCCTTCCTTACTCCATCCACCTGAGGCAACATCCCCGAACAGAAGCTAACTGGGTTTTTTAGAAGAGATCAAGGGAATATTATCCCTACATAATTCCTGTGTAATCCCTATATACTCCCTGTATTCCCTTTTCCCTACTACCCCCCGCAAAGTGGCCAACCCACTCCTTGGCCAGCTGTTGCTGCAGCTCGTGGTGGTGAAGGACGTGCTGCGGCAGAAGCGCACGTGTCATGTCAGGGCATGCTCAGGTAGGTTTAGAGTTTCGGGCTTAGTAGCTTCACAAAAAAAATCCGGGACCCCAGTAAAGAGCCCAAAGCATTATAGTTCTTATTATGGGGACCCCCAATAAGGTACTCCCAATTTTGGGAAACCTCCAAATTTTCAGGATCTTGGCTCTAGCCACCTTTTGTAAAGAAGGCAACCCTGGGCACATGATACCAAGATCAGGTGTGCGGCCACTTTCGGTACAAAGCAGCGGAAGCACAGTAGACTAGGAAAACGAGAATCCAATATATCCCTATATCATAACAGTACCAAAACCTTAATACATTCTTAATTGGAGAGCCACGGGGACTTAGTAAGCCCATGACCCTGAACCCTAAACCCTACCTCCTGTAACCCTACTTACTAAGTCCCCATGACCTTCCAAGCTATATGTCCCTAAAAGCTCAGACCCTAGATCCCCTAAACCCTAAACCCCATACCCTAAACCCTAAACAACAAAGGCTTATACATCTTTATATATCCCCTTAAGTAGATAGAATATGGCTTCGGGTATATTTCAATAACGTTCCCATATAAACCATATCCTATCTACTTAAGGGGGACTATATAGATATATATATATCAAATCCCCTAAGCCCTAAACCCTAAGGCA